ACAATCCTCAATACCACCACATGCTATTCCAACAATTTTGAGAGGATTGTAACAAACTTGACAAAAACAAGAACACATTTTTAGAAGATGTCCCATTTAATATTTTAATATCCTATTTATTAGCTTTCATTATTATTACCTACTGGTCTTTTGACTGAAGTTTTATCAATACTAGATTGTAGATTGTATGGGAGGGGAGAAGTTAATTATCACGAACTTATAGATCTATTGTGTTCCCCATTCTTGAATTGCATCTCAGGGCCTTGTCAAAAACTGGTATCTGAGACGGTTGGTATTACAGAGGTTAGTTCTCAATCTCCAATATCAATCGCACTAAAGTTTATAGCACGAAGTGTCGTCTCGACGCATTCGGTAATGAGGTATTCTGGTGTTTCCCCATTTTCCCCAAAGAATCTGCATTCGCCGTTGTTTCTTACCTTCAATCTAATTAGGTGTTCGTTGAGGAGATAGAGTCCTGTTAAATCCCGTAACATTCCGAAGATTGTTCTTACTCATATCAAATAAAACCATTCATTTGCCTCGACAGTGTCGTGTTAAAAAACCGTGATTATCCGAAGATTGTTTTTACTTAAAACAAGAAAAATCTTTCATTTTCCTCGGTCGTTAATCCTGAAAAATGTCTTCAATTGTTTTAGATCGTTGGAGAGTTCCCATTTCAGGTTACGGCTACTTTCAGGTTACGGAAACTTCCAGGTTCTTGAATTCAGCTTTAAGTTGGTTTCCACTTTGAAAGCAGAATGGTTCTTGCCCAGTTAGTGGAATATTCACTCTTTTTCTATCTAGATCGTTTACTTTTTCATTACCTTCTATCCCTTAGAGTACATTCAGCTGATAGAGTTACCTTCTATCCTTTCTATCCCTTTCATTACCTTTTATCCTTCAGAGTAGGAGGACATTCTTCTCTTTGCCTTATCAATACTAAATCGTCAATACGTTCAAAACATATTCTCTTTTACGATAATCGCAATACCATTTCCGTTAATCGCCATTAAATGGGGATTATGCAGCGGCACTTCCACCACTGCTGTTAGCCGGAATTCGAAATTATTATTAATTTAAACCGTCGCGTCGTCGAGACAATTGTACGTCGACAAGTTTGGCGAAAACTTTGGCCCTGCAGGAGCCGCCGCGATTCGACGCCATTAAGCCCGCGATAGTTTCGTCCGTATTTATGCGAAATCGCCATACCACCGTCTTCCCAATAGATAAAGCCTTAAACCATGTTAAAGCATAGACACCAACTATCGTTGGAATGTTGTAGCTGATGTAGATTGTAAATTGTATGGTAGAGGGAAGTTAACCACCGCGACCTTATAAATCTATTGTTTCTCCCTTTCTTGCGTTATAACTCATCACACATCGTCTCAAGTCTTTGTCAAAAGTAGTTTCGAGACGGTTTTACACATGTTAATTCTCCATCTCCGATATCAGTCGTACCAAAGTTTTTGGCACGAATGGTTGTCGTCTCGGCGCACTTAGTAATGTTCTGTTGTTTCCTAATTTTTTTCCACAGAATCTGCATTCGCCGTTGTTTCTTACATTCAATATAATTAGCTGTTCGTTGAGAAGACAAAGTTCTATTACACCCCGAAGATTGTTCTTACTTACATCAAGGAAAATCCTTGATTTGCCTCGTTCATAAGTTTCTTCTAGTGTCTTAGATCATTGGAAGGATCCCATTCCAGGTTACGGATACTTAGTCAGCAATAGAGGTAATACGTACCGTGCTGGTAGCCAAAAGGTCCTGGCTGAGCAACGTGTAATTTCTTACAGGATCCACCCTAGCTCCTCACATTAAGCTTCGGTCCTCCCTAGCATTTGTCGACCTTGGTCTATCCTCCCTATGCCTCTCCATGACAGATCCAGTCTCATTAGATCGGTTTTTAAGTCTAGAAATTACACTTCAGGTGTCTTTAAATCGATCAGCCACATCGATCTGTCGCGCACCGCCAAGAAGCAACCCAATGGCTTGATTTGCTTCCTCTACTGTTAAATGACGTCTACTCATATTATCGATGACAGAATAACCACAATATCGCAAACTGCCGCTTAGCAACACGCAAACAAATTCTATTCTAAACAAAAATTAAATGTACCTACATTTTTAATAATAATGCTTTTTATTTGTTTGGATACAATTTTTTATGTTTACAAACAGTATTTTTTTTAATTCAAACGACATAGGTATTAATAGCTACAACACATTTTTTCTGCAAATTTTTCTTCCTAGCGAAAACATATCTTTAACTATTTTCGATTAGTTTATATTATATGAGGCGTCAAGTTGCAAAACCGGTCTCACCTCACAAACGTTGTTTCGAAATAATAAACAAAAACTGTTTTGGCAAATGTTTGAAGCGTTAATTTACAAAAAAAAACGTGTCCATTGACTGGAATCATTGTTTTGTATCTCGCTTTTCTAGAAATAAAAATTAATATTTAATTTTTAAACAGAAAAATCACAAAAATAATTCGGATAAGGCGGGTTTTGTTGCAGTATGATGCATATTGGCTATGATATGAAGAACGCATTGTCATTTTATATGTAATTTTTATGGTAAATGTCATCGATTGTTATTTCTCGGCCAACTCGACGCTGTTTTTTATTTTGGATCATACAGTATTTGCATCAGTATTTGTATCATTAAAATTGACTAAGGATTTGAAAAGAAGTCAGTAGTAATATTATACTTGTGTAAAAAGCTTATGAAAAAATGCCGGATTTGTAACAATGACAATAAAAATCATCAATCAATATCACAAAATATCAGGTGGATAAGACGGATTTTGCTGTAGTAACGCAATTTGTAGTAAATTTTATGCTACATAAGCTCCTTACAGAATTATGTAGCACACCTATAATTTAATATAATTTATGTTGTTTCTGTCAGTATTGTGATTTTGTTAGTTTGAGATTGCTTTATTTCGCTACAAAGTAAGGGTTGCAATAGGCGTGTCTATTTAGTATGATCTAAGCATCGAGGGGACCATAAACGTTATTGTGCAAAGTTGCTTGCATTATAATCAAAATAATAAGACGAAGCGGTCCATTCGGATGTTGAATAGCAACAGTGGAAATTATCGAGTTGACTGGATTCTAGTCGAAGTTTATGTTAGGACCGAGAGAGTTTGTGCATCGAGAAAGAGCAAACTCGAATCGATGTTTGATCCTAAAGACTTTTAATTAAAGGCATTGAATTTATTGTTTACACCTTTTTAGCAAAATAATCACAACAAAAAAATATGTTGCTGTCTCATTGGCAATATATCTATATTTTAGAGTCAAAGATTGTATTTTTGTCAGATTGTTTTTTGGTTCATCTCAGTAGCTTTATTTTTATTGGAGATATTCACTTTTGAAAAAGGTAGTAACGATTTACAGCATTTTTATCATAAAAAACTTGCATTTGTTTTTGGTCCTAATTCCTAATGTGCTTGCATATCTGCTAACGATGTTAGCAGATTGGTTAGCAGCCATTGATTTAAAGCTCGAAGTTGATCTCTACCATTTTCAAGAAAAACAATAAGAGCCGATCCAACTTCTGGACTTAAAACCACCTCTACTAGATTTTCTACCAACAAAAGTAATAGTATGACGTTTTAGACACTGACATTACAATACTTAAATATTTCATGTCTGTTGATGATGACCAAAAGCAGAGCTATAAATACTTATAATGCTAAAACTGTAAATCGTTACCCCGTCTTTGAAAAGAATGTCGAATAATTACAAAGATATAGAGACGAATCAAAAAAGAAAATATGCACTCTAATGATAAATGGATTTAGGAAAATTGCCAGAAAAACAAACAGAGATAATAGGTGTTAAGTAATAGCCTTCAATAGCTTTTAGACGACCATTCGAGATGCATTGATGTTATTTTGGTTTGTAAATTTTAGTTATTGTAATAAAGAAGGTTATTAAAGGTAAAGTGATAATAATGTTAACTAAAGCATATATTTTATTTTCCTGTGGAAATGTTCTATGTTAAAGCTTTTCCTTATTTATTTGATCTTAGCAAGGTATTATATAGTATAAGGTATTACAAATGTGTACGTATTTAATGGATTCAATTTATGCTATGAATAATTCCTAGTTTAAAATTAAATCTCAACGCAACCGTTTACTGTCCATCCGTGCCAGATTTTGGTTCGGTATCACTTAGTGTGAAAATATGGGCCTTGTTGCGTGTACTAATAATTTCCAACCGTGCCTGGACGAATATCTTAGCAAACAAGTGAACAGTCAAAACCAAAGAATGGTATAACTCATAGTCTAAAGATATTGGTCACAACCTATCAACTATAGTTGAGTAGCCTCCCGAATCCAGGGACCTCAGTACCTGTATGTGGGGGCCTGCTAACTAACAAAATAAACAAAACCTCTTCAGCTATGAATGTTTCAAAAGTGTTAAACCTGAAACTTTGCTACGAAGTTGTGTTATTATTATTATTTTTATTTTAAAGTTCAGAACAGCATAGTTGGATTCTTTGGAATAATGATCCAAATCCATTCCAAAGAGTGTTTTGAACTTCCGCTAAAATAGCAACATTTTCTCTTTTTTTATTTCGTATAATAGACACGTGGGAACTCTAATAATTTAGCTATAAATTGCTTAAAAAATCACCAAAATTGGTTTACTAGAACAAAATATATTCAACTTTAAAGATCATGAAATTTAAAGGTATCTGTTTTTCGTGCAGGTTAGTGTGATTGCGTTGCATGCCATCAGTTTTTTACAAATACATGGGACCTACAATTCACCTCGGACCCCAAATGGCATTTTTTGCCAAATATATTCAGGGTAGTTTGATATATTTACTTAAATAAAAAAGCGACTGTACGATTTGGGTTTATAACCCGGTACACTGGAATAGAGACAATTCGACTTCGATTAGTTTAGTACATTACAATTATAAATATTTTACAAAAAAAAAACAGCCATTATTTAACTAACGTACTCTTATTTTGATTTCAGAGAGAAAACTTTTCGTGGGGATGCTGAGCAAGAAGTACTGCGAGAACGACGTGCGCGCCCTCTTCAACGGCCTCGGCTTGATCGAGGAGTGCACCGTGCTCAGGGACACTTCCGGTAATTCGCGCGGCTGCGCCTTCGTCACGTTCAGCACGAAGCAGGCCGCGCTCCTAGCCATCAAGAACCTCCACCAGTCGCAAACGATGGAGGGATGTTCGGCGCCGCTGGTGGTGAAATTTGCGGACACGCAAAAGGAGAAGGAGCTGAAAAGGCAGCAACAGATGCAGGCGAATATGTGGAATACTTTAGGTAAGGAATCAATGTTTCCTAACCTCTAATGACTCTAATTAACTTCGTACTACTCGGAAAGATATTCTTGGTTTATTCTATTTAGGTAATTGTCATACTAAAAGTTCGATATTCGGATAATCATAACTTTTTTAGTTTTTTTACCAAATTCGTACCGCCATATTGTTTTATATAGAAAATAACATAATTTCGGATGCACTGAAATTAGGCTTTAGTTTTATGTTAATGTCATTTAGTTGCGATTTGTCCATGTTCATCCTTGATTTAGTTTTTTGAGAAAGGCATTTAACAGCCGTTCACCTGCTTTATGTGCGAATTTTCTGTTTAAAGCTTACCAGGCCAAAGACACCACCCATTCGTCGACTGGTTTGGAAGTTATACTCCACCATCAGGACGAAGTTGGGAAAACCATTCCATTAATGATCTATCTTTCTTACATATTTTATTACCTTTCTGGTAATTTTATAATCTCTCTATTATAGTCCGGTCGAAAACTTACGGGATTTAATATCCCGTAAGTTTTTAGGAGTTTTTTTATGATTCTAAATAATTTTAAGGTATTAACGCTGAAATAAAGCGTGAAAGACACTTAAAAAATTTTAGCGTTTGGTCGATACATTATTTTATACCAGCCGAAAAAAAAATAAACGTGTAAATAAAAATAAGATGTTTCCTCTAGGAAACGATAACTAAATCTAAACCTTGACCCGACCAGTGAAGCCTCTATACGGATAGAGCTAGTGGAGCTCTATATTCGCCCCATTTAACCTATGTTACGAAAATACACAGTTTCCGAGATATTTCATTCAAAAAAATCGATTTTTTTATTTATTAACTTTTTCCACTTTTCACCTGGTCACCTGGCCACGTCTCCAAGACGTTAATGTAAGAATTCTAAATGCAATTTGACCCCATTTTTAGGTAATCTTGTATTTTAAAAAAATTGCCGAAAATGAAAAAATAGAGTTTTATTTTTTGTCTTACCCTGTATGTACTTTTTGACAAACTCTATATACTAAGAAATTTAACTAATCAATCTGCATCGATCCACGCCCAAAAATGTTTCAGGTCGGAATAAGTGAAAAAAGTTCTATTTTGGCCCGGAAAATTTCTAGCAATCCTAGTACGGAAGTATTGCATACTTCATTGTTTAACTAAGTCGTACATTTAGAGATCGTTTAGTCTGTCCAATATACGGGCATTCACAAGGTACCTGGTAAATGCACTTTCTCTTGTTTCGATGATTCCAGCCTTGTTTTTGTTAGGACGCTTCTTAGACTCGATCCAAATTTGAAAACAGTTTTAATGTTATACTTTTTGGCTATTCGCCTGATCATTTCTGACTTTCCTTTTACATATGAAGGGACCAGCGGAAAAACTTGATAAACGCCAATTTCTTAATTTTGGAATTTTAAAATATTATAGTAGGTCTAACTGGTCCCTACAGAATTAGTAAACTCTGCAGGGCAATAAGTTGTTAAATACTATGGTATATGCCTAGTAAAAATATACAATACACGGAAAGAACCTGACAGAGAGAGAGAGAGAGAGAGAGAGAGAGAGAGAGAGAGATCCACTTCAATTCGGTGCACCAAATATTTAATTCAACATTAAGTGATGCTTGGTCACTGCATATAAATGGTATTTGCTCAATGGCAGAAAGTTTTAACTATTCCTTTCTTAGTTGCTTCAGATAGATTGACTAATATCTTAAATATTTCCCAATACAGAAGTGCCAATAGATCACTCATTTTTACTAACAATGCAAAAACGGCAGAGAGAGCTCTTTACCAATCATAAATTTGATGAAATAATTTTGTGAGTTGATTGAGAAAGGAATCCAACTGTTTATAGGTTCCGTTCCAGATTAAGAAAGTATCGCCAACATCAAAATAAATAAATACAATGGAAGTCCGAAATTCTTTTAGTTTCAATACTGAATCATTGTCTACTTCACTCAAAGAAAGATTAATATTATTTCCCTCACCCTTTAGGACCAACGCTGGCCGCCCCCACGTTAGCCTCGCCACCCCAGCAGTACAGCGGGCCCGTACTGTCCTCTGATGCCACCTCCCTCCAGCTCTTGCAAGCGATGGGCGGCACGGCGCTGCTCCAGCAACAGCTCATGGCCAACTCGGAGAACCTGCTCGCGCCCATCGGCGTCCAGAACCTGGTCACGTTAGCCGCTATGTCGCAACCGGCGGCCGCGGCGACCGCTCCCCTCTGCGTCGCCAATTTGCTGGGCAAAGGGGCGGCGGTGGAGCGGTCCATGACGGCGGCAGGTTTGCCTGCTGGTTTGGGTACCGCCGCGTCGGATCTGGGCGCGTACGGATCGCTGTTCACGAACGCCACGTTGAGCGCGGCAGCTTTGGCCGCGGCGGGCAAACAGATTGAAGGTAAGTTTCTGGAATGCTCGGTGTAGCTTTTGTATTAGTTTAGTGTTTACTTAGATAGTTTAGATATAAGAAAAAAATAATCAAAAATTATTTTACAATTATTCTATGAACATAACGTTTGTTCGGACGAGGACCATTCCTTTTTTACTAATGTTTTGATAAGAAAAACTATTGCAAATAAATATAGTTACATGGACCTCTGTATATAATGTGATAATATACCGGTTTCTTTCAAAAGTGACTCAGCCCTATAACTTTTTTGTTTTTGTAATAAAAAAAATCGAGAATTGATAAGTTAGTATATGATATAAATTAAGGATAGATTGACATATTCAACTGTTTTCAATCATTTCTTCTTTCGCCGGAAACGACTACAATTTTTGATTTTTAAATGAGACCCTCTGTATTTTTTTTTAATTTAATTTGATAGAAAATGATATTCTGAATAGAATGACATATTATATGTCAACTTTTGACATTTTGAATTAAAAAAAAAGTTTAAATTTTAATTTAGAGTGCCACCCATGGCCATAAATGTAACTACAATTTGATTCGAAATACCACCTGTGTGATACCAAATTATTAACAGAAAAAAAATGTTTTTTCCCAATATGCTAACGAGCAACCCTCATTCCATTTGAAAAAATTGAGTTATCATTAAAAATACGATTTTGGCAACTTCTAACCGGCCAGGACAAGACACGAATTACATGAGACGATGACTCCTTTTTCAAAAATTAATGTTTTTAACATAGCCATGGGGCACTCTAGATTGAAATTTAAAATACGATTTTTTTAAGCGAGAGTGTCAAAAGTTGACATGCCTTATGTCATTCTATTCAGAGTGTCATTTTCTATCGAATAAAGTAAGGAAATACCGAGGGTGCCTTTTAAAAATGAAAAGTTTTAGTCATTTCCAGTGATACAGGAAGTGACCGAAAACGACTGAATACGTCAATCAATCCTGATTTATGTTATATACTAATGTACTAAATCTTGTTTATTTATCTGAAAAAATAAAAAAGTTAAAGAGATGAGCCACTTTTGAGAAACACCCGGTATAGAATATTAAAATGATATTTGTAGCAATTAAATAATCTATAGAATAACACTTAAAAGAAATCAAAAATATATGGAGAGGAAATAATGACATAAGATTTTCGACGCTTTATTTTTAATTAATTATTGCTACTAACATAACATTCTCAGCGGTTTCTATGTGTAGGTGAAAACGAAAGGATATTTAATACAACTAATTCAAAGGACTTTATTCATCTAAATTTATTTTGGTATTTTTCGCCTAATTTTTTGAACTATATACTTGAAGTGAATTAAATTAATTTTATAATATACTTCACAACTAACAAAAGCAATCGAATCAATAGAAGAATCTTCTACTATAGATATTACAATATTTTTTGTTGTATATATCTGGTGTCTTCAGTTCAGTGAGCCTGAAGTTAAATTCTGGAGGTAATATGTGTGATTTTATAAAATATTGTGTATTAACAATGTCAAATTTTTCATCAAATATCTTTTATAAAAGATCTTTGACAAAGAAATTTTATAGTGTAATAGTACCCTAAGTAAAAAATTATTAAAGGGACATAGTGAAGTGCAGCTTTCAAAAGTCAATTGTGAATAACAAACCCGAAAAATAACAAATAGATAGATTTACGAACAATTCAAACCTGAACGGTTATATATCACAGCTACTATGTTTATTTTTTAGTTTCCACCAGGTTAGGTTATGTAACCTAACCTAAACTAAAATGTTCCTAACCTAACCTAACCTCAGATAATCAGTATTATTATATTGACGCTACAACTCTTCAGAAGTTTTTTGTTGTGTTTACTGTGTATTGCTTTTTACTTTTGTCCTGTGTCCTTATTTCCCATTGTACAACTGTCATTTTCTCCATGTCTTATCTGACAACATCTTTTCATCTATTTAAATGATACTTTACCGATCTTCAGCACGGTGTCTCCTTTATCTGTCTTTCACATTCCTCCATTTTTGGGCAATACGTTTGAACTTAAATTAATAAATCAGTTCACTTCTTATCTTTAATATCTACACCTGGCGAATATCAGATTCGCGAATCGGTATTTCTATTAGAAATCAAATGAAATGTTGATTAGTAACGTTGAAACGAAAACATGTAACTTTGGACTTAAAAAACGAAATAAAAAAAAATTGGAAAAGCGAAGGCACTTCAAAAACTATTCATAAAGGGGAGATTTTCTGGCATCCCAAAGGTGACAAGGGTGGCAAAGGTTTACAAAACAGTTCAATAAATAACGTCTAAACCATTGGGGTCGGTTTATATCTAGAATAAATCCTGGGTATTTTTTTAATACATGAGCTGTTCTGTTCCGATTAAAGAATTTGCACTATATTTAACATATTGATGCAAAATTTAAGCTTCTTTATTTATTGCCTACCTATAAAATGATAACAATTTTTTAACAATTCAGACTCAACTTAAACTTGTTAACTAAACAAAAATACTTTGTCATTTTTTTTATCTTCCTTGGCGTCGAAAATATCAACTGGACAGGTGAATGTGCTATATATTCAGTGTGTACTGAAAAATCCTAAAGTTTTTAATAATAGCAAAGGGTAAATCGTCTCTGTGTCTGCTATTTCGCCGTATTGTTTTCAGTCTATATTTTAGATCATCTATTTATTCTAGATGTAAGTACTAAGTATCACCACCGTAACTTTCTCTATTAATTATGTGAAATTTCGTAAAAATGTGAGCAAAATGCTCATATAGCGACCAGTTTTGGGTTAAATATTCAATTTTATGAAGACACAAATAATATACAAAATAAAATACAGTAATGTCCTCTTTCTGAATCAAGTTAGGACTCTTCTGATATTTTATCCTGGTTATTTAGATTAAAAGACGCTTTTGAATTCTTAAATTATCTACATATATAAAATGCTAATGTTTATCTGTGTCGTCTCTACTGAAGTAACTACTTGCTCTAGAAAGTTGCTTTTTTTACTAAAAGATAACTAATTGACTCTTCTAAAAACTGCCGCCGCCGGATTTTTTGTTTTTCATTTAATTAAACAAAAAATAAAAAGTATTTTTTTTCCTGATGTCGCGTCGTGGCGGATGCGCCAGGCTTCAACTAGTAAGTAATAAAAGGCGCAAAGCCGTTAAAACCGAAGAAATGTTAATATGTTTAGCAATCACTAGCAAATTTAAACGCGATATCATTAACAATGGCACAACCGTGAACCTAATGGACACATTTTAGAATACTAGATGTAAGCACTAGGTATCACGACCATAACTCTTTCTCTCTATTAACTATATGCATTATTGGAAAAAGTATGAGCAAAATGCTCATCTAGCGACAAATCCCAGGCAAATACAGACAAAAATAACAGGCAAATACAGACAAAAATTACAGACAAAAATAATAGACAAAACAATTTTTTTTTTGTATTCCTAACAAGCAAGTATTCAATTTATTACTATCAATCTTGTCATCGTCCTGATCTAGACTTATCCTTATGTTCTGTGGCGATAGAGACCGATAGAGATCATCAACATCAAGTTACAGTGTAAACGATCGGATTTTTATCTCTCTAATTTTTTCCATATTAAACCATCCACAATCAATCACTTCCGTTCGAAGCGTCATAAATCAATGTGGCGTGGCCTCATACTAAATGCAAAATTTTAGGTTGAATAAATTAAATCGGTGTTCGGCGACAGAAGGGACACTGATGATCGTAATTTCTTTTTGAGTGCGACAGTGTTGCCTATGCGACCGACTATCGACATTACACTGCCTTTTTTGTTTGCGAGAATCTGTGCCGTTAATTAATGGCTTTTGAAAAAATAGGGAAGTGATTGATATTTTCAGCAGCTTTCAAATAGGAGTTAAATTTTTTAGTCCTTACAAATTGGCTGTCTGGTATTTTTTAATTAGTATATTAAAATTAAAGAATTAAAGTTTTACTGACATTAAATCGCGAAAAGCATAATTAATGAATAATTGGATTTTTTCTATTCACGTACCGATGATCATATAATGAATGATAATATGAATGAGAGAGATAATTTTAACGAAGAAAATCTTTAGAGCTCATTTTCAAAAAGTTTACATAAAACTTGTCAAAAATTGTCACTAATTATAGAAAGGTTAAAAAAGGAGTTTCCAGAGACACAAATCTAAATCCAAAAAATGATTTTTTCTTGAATTTTAATCTGCCCCATTTAAAAATCATTTTTACTGAATATGAAAATAAATTCCAACGTTCTTAAGGCCAAATGAGTGTAAGCGCCATTAAAAACTAAAGAAAAGTATGGGCCAAATTATCATCGATTGTCATTCCCCAACCGTTTTTTTTTATCATACGGTATTTTGTGTGATTAGGTATTCTAATGAATATTGTGACAGAAATGATAAATAATATTAAAAACTATTTATTTTGAAAATTAATCTGTATATAAAATCCTTAAGTGTGACTCACTGTTTAATAACGATCCTGCTCAAACCACTCAACGTAAGAAGCTCAATTTTGGCATAGAGGTTGATTCTAGGGTGTAGAGGTTCGATAAGAAGGGATTTTTCGAAATTTCAGTTCCAAGGGAGTGAAACCACCCCTCAAATATTACAATATTTTTTATTTAAAAAACGGTCAAGTTTCCGAAAAAACGCTTAAACACGTATATTTTATTTTGTTTTTTTACATGTTATTAATTTCTTTAAAAAATCATACAGGGTGTTCCAAAAAGTTGGGTAATTGATTAACCACGATTCTGCTTAAACTGTTTGACGTAAAAAGCTTCTTTTTGGCTTTTTGTTTTTTCTCATGCTGACATAAATGTGAGAAAATTTTATCCAGTTTGTATGTTAATGGAAATTCTTGCTTTGCATTATCATCACCATTACAAATGATTAATTCGACGTGATCGACGTAGCGGGTACACGCTAGTACTACATAAAAGATGAAATAGTGAAGGAAAATATAC